GACCTCCTTAGGCGCATATAATGGGACTTTTGGGCCTCGTTCTAGCCTTTTGGGCTCTTGGTCATTTCTTTAAGTAACGAGGGCTAGTTATTCGACTCTTTTTGGCAAACCACGTTTATATTTGATATAACTATTTAAAAATTATCTTTACCCTCTTAACTATTTTTAAAAAGGATTTACCATTGCCTCTTAGTTCAACGGGATATATATATATATAATATTTTTTTTTTTATGGGAAGAGGAAGATGTCTTAACCAATGTGGAGACGTGGAAAAGAGAATTTTATCTAACGTTGGTTGGATTGGGTGGAAGTTCGTCTGTGTACATCCGCATCCAAGTAATGCGAAGTGTAAAGCAAGCAAAGCAAAACAAAGCACTATGGGTCTCTTTTCTAAGCAAGCAATTTACCTATCCAGTCGGTGAATGCGCGTGGGATAGAAAAATTAGACACGGTGTCGCTGTCTAGTAGCGGAGTGGTCAGTGTCATCAACCAAATGAATTGTATTTAATTATTCAATAAAAAAGAAAAGAAAAATACGGAAAGGGAAACAAATCGCGAGCCACAAGATGAATTCAATACAACTGTGATCTGTCTGTGATTGAGAAAATAAAACAAGCACCGTCACCCATCAAATTATTGAGTTAATATAATGCAACGGAAAAAGTCCAAACTGAGTCCACATTTTCCTTTTCTTTTATAGGAATAGGAGGAGGCACATGAGATTACAAACAAGCTAACAGCATCGAAGCAACTACTTGTTTTGTGAATTGAGAGTTGCTTTTTGTCCCAGACTCAGATCTGGTTCTGGTTCTTGCTTTGGGTGTCGGTGGTGTTTTGACTTGTGAGACAAGTGACAACTCCTCTGTCGGTGTCGGCAGTGTTGAGCTGAAGCTATGAGCATGTACGGCAGGGACCCTTGGGGTGGCCCGCTGGAGATAAACACGGCGGACTCGGCCACGGACGACGACCGGAGCCGGAACCTGCAGGATCTGGACAGGGCGGCGCTGTCGTCGCGGCCGTTGGATGAAACGCAGCAGAGCTGGCTGCTGGGGCCCTCCGGGGAGCAGAAGAAGAAGAAGTATGTGGATCTGGGATGCATCATTGTCAGCCGTAAGATCTTTGTGTGGACAGTCGGGACGCTTCTGGTCTCCGCCTTTCTGGCGGGCTTCATCACCCTCATCGTCAAGACAGTGCCGCGTCACCCCCGCGGCCGCCCTCCCCCCGACAACTACACACTGGCGCTCCACAAGTCTCTAATGTTCTTCAACGCCCAGCGATGTACGTTTTCTTTGTGCCTTTATTCTTTTTATTTATCTTTCTTGGGACTCTTCTGCTCCCCCCCTTTCTGGCGGGCTTCATCACCCTCATCGTCAAGACAGTGCCGCGTCACCACCGCGGCCGCCCTCCCCCCGACAACTACACACTGGCGCTCCACAAGTCTCTAATGTTCTTCAACGCCCAGCGATGTACGTTTTCTTTGTGCCTTTATTCTTTTTATTTATCTTTCTTGTTTCTAAATTCTACATTTGGGTTTGTTGTTTCTAAAATTCTAAATCTGGGTTTGTTGTTTCTAAATTCTAAATTTGGGTGTTAAAAGTGTGTGTCAGATTTATATATATATAATAATAATAATAATAATAATAATACTAAATCTGGAAAATTCTAAATTTGGGTTTGTTGTTTCTAAATTCTAAATCTGGATAATTGATTTGATTTGATTAATTGCATTCTTCTTGATATCTCGATCATCATTTTTTCATTTTTCATGAACTACTAATAATAATAATACTCTGATATGATATGATATCACAGCGGGAAAACTCCCAAAACATAACAATGTGTCGTGGAGGGGTAACTCATGTCTTAAGGATGGCAATGATGCATCCACCACTTTTAAAGATCTTGCGGGTGGTTTTTATGACGCCGGAGATGCCATCAAGTTCAACTTCCCTAAATCCTTTGCCATGACCATGCTCAGCTGGAGTGTAATCGAGTACAGTGCTAAATATGAAGCTGCTGGGGAACTCAACCATGTGAAGGAAATCATTAAATGGGGTTCTGATTACTTTCTCAAGACGTTCAACCATTCTGCTGATTCCATTGACAAGCTTGTTGCTCAGGTTTCTAATGCATCCACTAGTCTCGACTCTACTGCCATTTTGTGTTTTCCTTCTCATTGTCCATTGCTAATCTACTACTTTTACAGGTTGGGGTTGGATCTACTGCTGGAGGAAGTACTACTCCTAATGATCATTATTGCTGGATGCGCCCTGAGGACATTGATTACCCCCGTCCTGTGACTGAATGCCACAGTTGCTCTGATCTAGCCGCCGAAATGGCTGCTGCTCTCGCTGCTGCATCCATAGTTTTTAAAGACAACAAGGCCTATTCACAGAAACTTGTCCATGGTGCGAAAACACTGTTCAAGTTTTCTAGGGATCAGCGAGGCAGATATAGTGCTGGTGGTAGTTCAGATGCTTCACTCTTCTATAATTCCACCAGTTATTGGGATGAATTCGTATGGGGTGGAGCTTGGATGTATTATGCTACTGGAAATTCTTCTTATCTTCAGCTTGCAACAACTCCGGGTCTTGCCAAACATGCTGGTGCCTTTTGGGGCGGCCCTGATTATGGAGTTTTTAGCTGGGACAACAAGCTTGCTGGAGCTCAGGTATGCTAATAGGAGTTTGTAGTGTTCGTGCTTTGATATGAGACCTGAAAGATTATATAAGTAATATGTATTACTATCTTTAATTAGTTCTATGTTCATTAATCGGGTGTAATCCTTTGTAACTTCCAAGTGTCAGCCACCCTTCTATATCAAATGTTAGATCACAGTTGGGTTATGAACTGTACAATTTTAGTTTATATTTTTCATTGCCAACACAATCTTAAATTCTTTTGACTAGGTGCTTCTGAGCCGTTTGAGGTTATTCTTGAGTCCTGGGTATCCGTATGAAGAAATTTTGAGGACATTTCACAACCAGACTAGCATAGTAATGTGCTCGTACCTGCCAATTTTCACGACCTTTAACAGAACCAAAGGTACGATGTTTCCTACTCCATAATGTTTGGGTTCTGTGATTAATTGACCTCACGAGGTTCCACAAGTGGATTTATGCATGTATGGGATCTAACATCTTAGTGACCTGCCACAGGAGGCTTGATCCAGTTGAATCATGGAAGGCCACAGCCTCTTCAATATGTAGTCAATGCAGCCTTCTTAGCTACATTGTATAGCGATTATCTTGAAGCTGCCGATACACCTGGGTGGTATTGTGGACCCAACTTCTACTCTACTGATGTCTTGCGTGAATTTGCTAAAACTCAGGTATGTATACTTTTTTTTAATTTGCTTTATATCCTTTAAGAAGAAAATAATATTAGGGCTGCTTACACCTCACACATATAAAGAAACTCATGTTGAGACATGATGGCCAATAACTTGTTTTTCCCACTGCTTTGGCAGATTGATTACATCCTTGGCAAAAATCCCCAAAAAATGAGTTATGTCGTGGGCTTTGGTAATCGTTACCCCAAACATGTCCACCACAGAGGAGCATCCATTCCTAAGAACAAGATCAAATACAATTGTAAAGGGGGATGGAAATGGAGGGACACTTCAAAGGCAAACCCAAATACGCTTGATGGTGCCATGGTTGCCGGGCCCGACAAACATGATGGTTTCCGTGATGTTCGTTCTAATTACAACTACACAGAGCCGACCCTTGCTGGAAATGCAGGTTTAGTAGCAGCGCTTGTTGCTTTGTCGGGAGAAAAAAATATTGGGATTGACAAGAATACCATTTTCTCTGCGGTTCCTCCAATGTTTCCAACTCCACCACCACCTCCGGCACCTTGGAAACCATGAGATGCTGAAGTGGTCCCGGTTGTTTTAAGTATGTTGTGTGACTTACGGCTAGATGATTTTGCTGCAGTGTTAGACTTTGGAGCTTATATCTACTTGACATAAAAACAGTAACTCAGTCACATGAAGATCAAGAGATGGGCGCAAGGAAGTAAGGATGAAAGCACTAGACGGACGTTGAGCGTTTATTGGGCTGGGGGCAAATCGTCAACTCAGACTAGCACGAGGAATTGATAAATGTCTATTTGATTGGATTTTGTGATATATACAGTATATATGTATCGAATGAATCATGTATTCTTTGAAACATTGAAAGTGAACAGTTTGAATGTGTTGACAATAAATTTAAATTTAGAAGTCAGTTTTCCATGCTGCGTCAAAGGTGTCTTCTATTTTTCCCTTCTATCTCTCTTTAATGAGCTGCAATTAGTTCTTCTCACATGTCTACCTGTAATTCGGTATTTGCATGCATGAGCTCTGCTACTTAGGACAAAGAGGAGCTCTGCTACTTAGGACAAAGAAGCCTCTTAACAAGACTGCGAAAAGAACGAACCATTAGAGAAGCCAGGCTAGAAGCCTCTTAAAAGACCGGCAACGGCACTTGCTCTTCGCACTTTCACAGTTGAGGGAGGTAATTCAGAAGCCACAGCTGTTATGAGTTGCCCTCCAACTCTAGGGCAGCAAGTGACATTTTTGGTATTATGGCGAGTAATGTGCCACATGAATCAGGTTCTTTTATTTTTTTTCCTTTTCTTTTCTGGTACCTACAGCTACAGAGTTTCGGTTAACAGAAATCCAAGTTGAATAAAGGCTTTCATGGCTCTTTCTTTCTACATGTTGGCTTCCTTGACCTAGTAGCCTATCACCAACTTATGGAATGAACTAGAACTTTCCACTTTTACTCAGATAAATTCTGTACGTTACTTAAAATGCACGGCCACCTTGAATACTTTGGTTTTCCCCTGCTTCTTTGCTTTATTCTCCTCTTTCTTTTTTATTTCGAAAACTGCTTTATTCTCTTCTTTTTCCTTTGCTTTGGAATAGGGCATTCTTTGTCCCCCAAAATCAAAATTTCTCTACTTATTCAAAGTCCACAATCAATTAAGGCAACACTAGTTTGCGTCCCAACTTCAAATGCTCATAGCAATCTTTTTGTCTGTCGATTGATCATATTGCTCCTTTTTTGGTGTGAAGAGGATATGGCAGAAGAACTTAACAGCTCTTTAGAGTATACATCAACATGGGTTGTTGCAGTTGTTTGCTTTGTCATTGTTCTACTATCTCTTTGTGCGGAGCGTGCTCTTCATAAACTCGGAAAGGTATCCAAATTGTGCCCTTTCTCATATCATGGTTACAATCATTACAAGAGTTGCCTCTCTAATCTTTTAGTTTTTTTTTTCTCTCCCCCACTCTGGAAAATGCTACCCTTATGCCATAATTTTTTCTCCTTAATTCTTCTTCAAAGTCGGGAATATGGTGGCACCAAATGCTGCCTATGTAAAGAGCTTGGATTTTTATAAGTGTTGGCAACTTGGAGCAGGGTAAAGCACATAAGTAATGGGTCATGGGGATATGCCATGCAAATCAGATAAAACTTCAGTGTTCCGTATGGTACTGGTGGATGAAGTTTGTCTTTCGTTGTTGGCCATCATTGGTACTCGGAGAAAACCAACTCCAGTAGTCAGTTGCACAATAATAAGTAATTAATAAAATATAGTAGTTAAGTAGAAGCTAGTTCTTGATCTTCTTCCGTAATCACCGTACTGCTCCTCATT